CAAGAAGAAAGCAAGTCAAGAGTCTGGCAACAAAAGATGGTAGTGCGTATTGGAATCACCGTGCTAGATGGGGACAGGAATAATGGACAGATATAGTCACTAGGAATATTGGGAAGTATCTACATTTTGTTATATGACTCAGAAAAGATAGCAATGATTTGATAATAGAACACTCACCTTCTTGTCTAGTAATCTCTAAAATAAACTTCCATCACTTGTTCTGGGTGGATTTAATGGCTAAGATTTCTTTAGAAAAGAATATATGGGGATTGTCTAAAAAGAGAATAACAATCTGGGAAATTTAAAAATTTGTATAGGTAGACTGAAAGTCTGAGAAACGCAAACTGGGAAAGAACTAGGACAAATAAGCAAGAGTGGAGATGATATCATTTTATTAACATAAATGGTGTCTCAGACTTTCATGAGTATAAATGATTTATGGAAAACAGAAATATAATACAAAATCATATTTCTGTAGACTGAACTAAGGCATATTATTCTTGTGAATCTATTAGTGTGTGAGCATATAGAGCCTTGCCAAATGTACTTTACAGCTATAGGAGCCAGGATAGAAATAAGACTGGCAGCCCCAGGCTATAGATAATCTTTTATAGGGAAATCTTGCCTTGCCTTTTTTTCAGACACCATCATAAAATATAGTGGAATTAGTCTGATTATTGTTACTGAGCAGTAACAGTAAGCATTTTATACCAGCATTATGCTACTTGCATAATAGATTCTCTTTAAATCGGTTGCAGAAACATATATTACATAGTTTTTCTATAATAGCAAAATAGAATGTACCATACTGCAAACATTGATTCCATCTGGTCTGAAGAATTCCATGAAGTGTAAGGATATGTGTGCTGAAGAAGATGTAGAAAGTCTATTGAATGCTTTGAAAGACACTGAGCTTTATGAGTTTCAGCAGGATCGTGATTGCTAGAACTCTCTTACAGAGTCCTAATCATGTTTTCAGCCATAACTTGCTGGAAACTACAATTTTTCATAAGCTTTATGCTCCAAAAGAATTAACTGCTAGCTATGTTAGTGGCCTTTTAAAGCATCTAGAGATTTCTCTCTTAGTACTGTACTTTAAACAAAGATAAATTACAGCAGGATTGCTACATGTTGTATTTCATAGGCTTCTATAACCTTCGGCAATAGAGTATTACCATTATGCCAAAAGTATTCAAGTAGAAGATATAAAATCTAGATTGACATATGTCTTTTTTAAAGCTAAACAATAAATACATAAGCTCTGAACAAGCCCAGTACATGTAACCACAAAAGTCATTTATTTGGTTTGACTTGAAATTCTAAGCTGCTTCTTCTGGCTAACTGAAAGTAATTTCAATTTAATTAATGATTTAAAAATATTATTTTATTCATGTTTTACATATATATATATGGAA